AATAAAGACTATAATATAAGTATAAGAGAAGAAGAAGATCTTTTCTTAATAAAATACTTATACTTATTTACAATAGTCTTATTAATAAAATAGTTAAAATAATAATATACTCTATTTATTTATAAGAGACACAGTTCTTTGAAGTAAATATAGTGAAAATTATTTATAAGTAATAACTATAAAAATAAAGAATAAATTTTAATCTTATTACAGTTATAAACTTAGTTACTAAAATAAATAAGTTCTCTAAATTCAGAAATAATTACAGTTATATTAAAATGAAAATTATTATCAAGCTCTTAAGACTGAAAGACTATAATATTTAATACTGTGAAATTGAATTAAAAGTAGTTTTAATTAACATGTCTTATATTCTTACAGGTAAAGAGCTTTTCTTAGATACTTAGCTTATAAGTGATAATTTAAAGATTTGATAATATAAAAAACGCTAATTATAAAAGTATATATAAAACTTAATAAAAACAAAGCTGTAAATATTTATTCAAGTACAACTGAACTAAGTTAATAATTATAATATTATTAAGATAAGATACTCTGTTATATTATAATAAGTAGTTGAATTGAAATATTAAATACACTGAGTAGATCTTTAATTTAAATTATATAAAAAGATTATTATTATAATAATTATTAATTATAATAATAATATTATACTATATATAAAGTACTGATATATAATAAGAAATGATATTAACATGTATAACTGATTAATACTTAAAGACTTACTCACTTAATAATTTATTCATTATCTGAAGACTTATATATTAACATTTTTTCAAAGCTATCTTAAGAATTTATATTTAGAAATTTCAAAGATATCTATTTCTAAGATTAATCTTAATAATCTTATTAATAATCTCATCTACTACAAGATAGTTATCAGATTAAATAATAATAAAAAGAGAATATAAGTGAAAAAAGCTGAAAAGAAAGCTGAAACGAAAAAGAAAAACAAAAATAATAATAATAATACTAATAGAGTAGAACTCACTGAAGCAGACAAGGTTATTTTATTCACTACTTTATTATAAATGTACTTAATTCTTTAAAGAAGAAACTGTTAATAGATTCATTAAAAAGCTCTAGATTCTACGGGCATTTTAACCTTATTACTAACTGTATACTCCGTGTGATAATAAAGTTATTCAGTCAAATATGAATCAGATATTGTTTAAAACTTCAGTGTAAAATTATACTCTGTTCATTTTCATCATATCACAACTCTGAGTCAAATTATTATATAAATTATACAATGAAAAGATCTAATTATATGTATTAATCTTCTTAATTTTAAAAGATTTTTAATTGGTAATTGTGAAGATATTTGAAGAGTAATTTTATAAAAACTCTATGTATCTTTAATATTTTAAAAGATTAAAAATAAGTCTTACTTATATATTACTCTTCTTAATCTGACTTATTTTCAGTATAAAAATACAAAATGATATTTTAGTAATAATATTATATATATAATTAACAGATATATCTGAAGTGTTCTCTCTGTAAAAACTCTGTCTGTCTTTAATGTATTAAGATATTAATACTAAGTCTCACTCATGTATTACTTCATTCAATCTAATCTATCTTCAGTAGAAAGATATAAAAAGATACCTCAGCAATAGTATTCAATACATAATTAGTAGATAACTATAAAATCAGTATATCTTAAGATCTGACTGAGCCTTTAGTCCCTGCATAGTGAGATATATTAAATCTAGTTTTAATATCTTAATATTCAATAGATTCTGTAAGGGATTGAGAACAGCAATACTAGATTTCTATTAAATTTAAGAATTAACTCTATATTAATATAATCATTGATGTGGTGGGCTGCGCCTGGTTAATCATATAGACTACTTCATTACACTTCATAGATTCCGCGAGAAGCTCCGATTCTCGGCCATTCTCAATCGCCAATCCTCGGCCGCTATGAACGCGTATAAATTCTCCTGTCTAAAAGCTTCATCATGTACATCACTACATACATGTATAAATATTCACTTCAATCACTGATTCTCATACTTTCTCTTTTCTTTTCTTCTTTAACATTTTTCACTTTATTATATAAGATCTATAAATATCACACTGATCTATTCAGTGTAGACCTCTTATACTTGAAAAATGTTTATTATCTTCTTATTGAAAACAATTATTCACACTCATTATCTTCTCATTAGAAATGATTATCTATTAAGAAGATATCTGAACATGTAATAATATATAAGAAATAGAAAATAATTAAATAGTTAAGTGAACACTAAGTTCTTAGATAGAAGCTTGCTCTGTGATTCGGAAGAATGTATAATCACTGAATAATAACGCGGCTGCTTTTGAACTTGTCTATGAATGTAAAGAGGCTATAGCAGTCATCAATTAATTTAGCATACTGTATATAAGAAGTCAGTGTACATCTGTAATTATATACTGACTCAAGCAACCTTTGAATCACATCTGATAGCATGTCTAAAAATTGATAAGAAGCACAGACTTCTTCAGAGTGTGATAATTTCATCTATGAAGTGATTTGTAGTTATCATGTCAGTGTGGTTCTAAAAACACCTCAAAAAATAGTGTATGAAGAGCAGTGAGTGAAAGAGTATTCAATTAATACTGCTTTACTTATTGAGGAAAAACTTCACATTCAGATGAATGCCACATATGAAAACAGATAAGGTATGAGAAAGAAGATGAGAGTGATGAATCAGATTCAAAGAATACTACTTTCTACTCAGAAGAATAAAAGAGAAGTGGTCATTATCAGAGTTATACAATGATAATAGAAATCATAGAACAATATAGCAATATAATAATAGACATTGTATAATCAATGAGAAATCACTGAAATGAATATCTTCTCTAGTTAATATGAATAACAACACTCTTCTCTGCTATCTGAACTGAAAGATATGTAGAATCTTTTAGAGAGTTTACTCAAAGCAGTAAGAAAAGCAGTCAAGATTATCAAACTGAAATCAAATCTCTGTATGTGTACAAGGATTCTAAATGAGATTAAGACCTTGTATACACAGTGGCAGACTGAGGTGAAAGTTAAACAACAAATAACATTCACTGCAGATTAAGTATTTACAATGAAGAGCTTTATCAATGCAATCATCATCATTAATAAGAATAGAGAAAACCAGGTCTTAGATCTGTAGTGAGAGATTGAATGTTTACACAGATAGTTAATTACACTGAATCTGAAGATCTTATCATGATTATTCACAATCTTTTCAGAAGTGTATACATCATCAGAGACTGCTGTGCAGAATGAGAATCTGAATATAAGATATATTAAGCTAAAAGATCTGCTGAAATCACTAAGCTTCAATAAAGACTGAAAAAATGATGCTGTAATCAGCTGACTAAGTCAGATGTAATTATATTATCAGATTGAACATGAACTTACAGACAGATAGTTAACAGAATTTCAATAAGTCTTAAGATCTACTGTGTTTCTATACAGAAAAGTGAAGTCATTGTAAATAACTGATGAAAAGATGAATCTCACAGACTTGAAATAATACTTATTTTCATAAACATGAAATGAATTTTTCAAATGAATCTTGCACCACTTTGAGAAAGTGAATATATGAGATAAGTATTATGAATACTTCACTGAGTGTAGACAAGTAAGTAATCTTATATCATACTTCACATACTTCAGCTTACACTATCTTATATTGAATGAAGAGCTTTCAACATCTTTCTATTTATAGATCTTCATTCATGATCTTATACTCAAGA